ACATAAATATACATACACATACATACACACCATATATATGATATCTATGATATCTGTTTTGTGTACATCACTGACATTCTGGACGGTATAATTTGAGAAGAGTGTGTGTGTGTGTGTGTGTGTGTGTGTGTGAGAGAGAGAGAGAGAGAGAGAGAGGTGAGCAAGAAAATAAATACAAAAACTAATCCAAAATGAAGCCTCAATTCCATTTCACCTGAAATACTTGTTAATTAATTATCAAGTATTTTGTTTAACTAAGTTTAGAATGGTTCAAAACTGTTTAAGAATTTAGAGTTACATATTGGACTTCTCATGTAACTTATGGCTTAATTCACTTTATTCAGTTTTGATTGATTCAGTTTGGATTCTGATTTTCTAATTTGGGCATGAACTTTTTTTTCTTTTAAAAAAAAAAAAAAGTCTTTCCCTGTATATCAAAGTCAATGTTAAAACCTCAAAAGACTTCTAAATTTTTTAATTTTTATAAATCAAATACTGCATTAAGTGGGCATCAGAACAAGAGAGACATGAGAAAGGAAATGCCCAGCAAGACTTCCTTTCTTTCACTTGCATTTACTTAACTGTGTTTAATGAAATTGGTGTCTTCTGTGGTTGCATGGTAGTGTTCTTTTTTTTTAATTGAGATATAACTGACATCAGTAAAATTTTTATTAGAGAAACAGAAAAGGAATGGTGTCCGCTTTAGTCCAGTTAGAGTACTTCCTTCCACTCAGCATGTCAAGGAGTTTATATTGGTTTTTATGACCTCCCCGACCCATGGCTTCATTACTTTTTTCTCTTAAGAAGAATCTTAAGTTTTCAAAGGGCGTTTGGTACACTCATAGTGTGGAGGGAATAGGAAAGAATACAGAGATTCAGAGGAAGCAGTGGTAATTCCAAGCACACCTCAAGTTATAGGACTAGTTCATGCCTTAATTATATAGCATTTCCATGTGCCACACTGGAGTATTAATAGGGTCAGAAGTACCTTTCGCTTATTATCAGTGTCTTTTCTTATTCAGTTATGTGCTTCCAGTCTTAGGATCATTGTTTTTTTTCTTCCTCAATGTATTTTGGGAAAAGCTTCTTTAAGACTTGTGCATATTATTGATTGGAGGCCAATAAAAGTACTTTCAGGTGTCTCCTATGTGCAAAGTATTCTCCTTTACTGCAGGAGACTGGAGATTGAATGCGATTTAATTTGTGTTCTTCTTGAAAGTGACTATCTTGGGGCTACCTTTTGGACTCCTCTTTTGTGAGTGCTACTGTACTCATTAACACACCAGATCCCTAGTAAGACCAGATCTTACCCTTTCTACCTAGGAACTCATCTCTCTCCATCCCAGTAATTTGTTTTTTTCTGAGAGGAATTTGCATCTGAATATAGGCATCCCTACCTAATCAAAGCAAGTAGAATTTTCATACTGGGTATGTTCTTATAAAATATAATGAGTTCTAATACAAGCTGTATTTTTGTTCATGATCATTTCTCTTTTCTGGAGATGAATATTCACAATAACTCTGCTACTTGAAAAACCATCTCTGTCTCTGGAGAGCTCAAAACTGGTTCCTTCATAAATTCCTCCTTCTACTTACTCCACACTGCTTCCTCTACTAGGTGTCCTTCTCCTACTTCAGCACTTTCTGGCTTTCCTCCCATTTTAGGATTCTGTTCTCTTCACCTAATCATCAGTAGGCATAGGTTCTTTCTGTGTCTCTTCCATCTTCCCTTTCTTTTTGCCTCTTTAATTTTGCTGATCCAAATAAACTCGTAAATTGCTGTTAACCCTAGGTCTTTGTGTCTCCTCACGAGGACAATGTTTTATGACAATTAATGGTTTGGATCGACTGATTCCAGAGTCCAACAATAGGTCTTTGTTAAGATCAAATGCTGCCTTTTGTCTACTCTGTAGAGACTGAACCTAACCTCTTGAGGGATAGGATCAGTACTCTCTATAAAGAATATGTCTACCTTCTTTCTCTCCTTCTCTCACTTTTCTTCTCTCTACCCGAGTAATACTGCGTGCATTTGTTAGAAAATATCCAAGACCACTATCATGAGAGTGAATGAGCAGACTTTCCAAAGCCTGTTCTTCCCATCCCCACTTCAAGTGTTTTGCACATGGTATTTAGGACGATTATTAAACAGAAATGAAATAGATTAAGAAATGAGCATAAAGGAATCAATTCTCTTGAACTGTGGTTGCATAATGGAAATCGACTACTATGAATGAACCCGTGTACTGAAGTTATGAACAGCAGAGCTAATGCACTGCCATGAGTTCATCTTTATTATTGCATTACACCTGAATCAATTGATAAAGTAGCTTTTTTTTTTAAGCAAGGGATAGCACTTAATTGAATAAAAGTCAATGTAATTATATTAGCAGAGGCCAACAGTACTGCTGACAGCGGAAAAGGGACACTCTGGAACGGAGTGCCAGAGCTAGTCTACACATTTCTGCACATCGTTTGGTTGACAGATATTGAGGGCTGGTACATCATCTAATTAGATTACAGATTTCTATTGCTGTAAGTGAGAAATGAAGAGAAACTTCTCTTCCTGGTAACATATCAGTAGAGATGTGTAATTTCACAAGTCATCTTAGGAAAGAAGTGTCCATCTGGGTGATCAGTGTGTCCTTTTGTTAATGTTAATTTATTCTTCCTTATTCAGTGTGTCTTGATGTGACTGCTGTGTGTCTGGCTGCTGTTTTTTCAGCAGTGAATCTAGGAAGTGGTAACTGCAGATGTGTGAGAAGCAACAGAGTTCTAGATTACAGTCATCGCAAAAATGTGTGCTTGTGAAATTAAGAAAGTGGGGAGGGTGTTAAAAATAATACACAGGGGTAGGATTTCGTGGGCCACGTACAGTTGGCAGATTGTTTTATCAACAGTAATTTTACGTAGTGTAACTCTATTTCCACATTCTTATAACTCTGGGGGTGTCACACCCACATGTCAGGGTAGGCATTTCCTGCACTCTGCTTAGCACCCTGCACTTGGCGTCATCTGCCATCTGACACCAAGGAAACGGGAGCAACAGTGTCAGAGCAGGGACTGCGGGGACAGCTTCTGTTTATCACTCACGTATTTGCACACTGCATGTGTCTGAGTAGAACTCATTTATGGATGATGATGATGCTGTGAATTTGGTTTATCTCAATTCAGTTTATGATTTTTGGATGATACAGCTGATCTGAAAATCATCAAGACAGCATATGAGATGATCGCTTATGACAGAAATGATTTTGTGATCAGAACATTTTAAATCCCTATTTTATTGTTTGCGTTTTTTTAAACCAGATGTCTAGAATGTGAATTTGTTTTCTCTCTCTCTCTCTTTCTCTCTCTTTTTCTCTGTCTCTCATTCTTGCTTTCTTTTGTGATCGATTTAGCAAAAGATTAGAAAGCTGATCTTATTATCACAAGGTAAGCTCAGCCTTCCTAAGTGCAGTGTGGAGAGGGCTGCCGCCCCTCTGCCCCTTAACACCCGGAGTGCTAAATATTGTCTTGTGTGGAAAGGTGGAGAAGTCTTTCCTACCTTTCTTGTCTCTGAGGCACATACCTCTCAACCATCTCTAAGAAATTAGCCATGCTTGTCACCAAATGGAGTGACGCATTTTGGAGTTTCATACGTTTTAATCACAATCAAGAGGTCTGTTGAATGTTATACTGGCCATTCTAGGTCATTTCTATTATCACAATTACTTCTTCAAGATGGAGAGCTTCCGCCATTCCCGAGAAGCTTTTCTGTATCTGTGTATTTATTTATTGGTTTATTTTTTGGAAGGGTAAGCCTTCAATTTAGGTACTTGTCAAACATGTGAGAATTGCAGGTGGAGAGAGGTATATGCCCAAGGGCACTTTAAAAATAAATGGGGGATGTAAATACAAAGGCAATGTTTTCAGATAGATAATAACATATCAGGCTTTGTAAATCATGACATCCGGATCTATGGATGCTGTGGGACAATTCGTATCTTTTTTTTTTTTTTTTTTTTTTTTTTTTTACAAGCAAAGCACTTAGTAGAGTAAAAGTTTTGCTTGTCTAAGAAGTACAGATTCCAGTTGTTAAAATAGAGGGGACTGTATATTGTGCTTAATTTGGGGGGTATTTATTGTGCGGGTTTTTTCTTTTTTGTCCCTTTGGGATTTTTAAATGGTGGGCGGGTTTTATTTTTAAAAACAATTTCTGTTTTTCAGGTTTTGTTTTAAAGGATTACATTTTAAAAGTTGAACTACTTGATGAAAGCATGTTCAACTCCAAAAGGCAGCAGTTTCTGAAAATTAAGTCTATTTTACTATTAGATTAGCTGAGATCCCACATTATTTTGAGAAAAGGGATTTATGATAGTCTGTAACCATATTTCAAATTAGTAATCTGTAAAACTAAATTTTTCCTACATAAAACTTGAAGTGCAGAAAGGTGAGGGGGAAAAATTTCATTATTTTTTGGAGTTTAAACTGAAATTATCTAGACCATTTACTTTTTTAAAAAAATTGATCTTTTCTATACCTCTAAATAAAGCGCTATAGGACAAAAAGAGCTTGTTTTGCTTTGTGTTTCTTTTTTTAGGTGTAAATTCAAATTATTCAGTTTAGACAGCAGAAAGTTTCCATTCTTTTATCCTATTTAATATATTCTGAAATCTCTGCTGTGAGATTCTCTGCAGCCGATGCTGCTACCTACCTACTAAAGCTAACAGAACTGTCATTGAGAAAAAGGTGCATGGGCTTGCATTCATCCTACCATTGAAGAATTTTACTCTTCTAAAAAATGATGTTAATGAAAAGTTCTCCTGATTGCGCTCCCCACCGCCACTTACTCCCAAATCCTGAGCATGTAGGGAAATGTTTGCTTTTATAATGGTGTAATTAGCAATGAATGTGCTTATTTGATGCCTGGTGGAAGCTGAATCAATTTTAAAATGTTCTCCTTTTTCTCACCCCTCCCCACTCCCTCTGCACCTACCCCCCCTTCCCTCTTGTTTTCCTAGACACAGTGCCAACATAAACCTGCATCGCAAACTGTTGACCAAAGAACTCGATGACATGGGCCTGGACTCAGTGCAGCCCTCTCTTAGCAAGGGCCTCCGGGATGAATTTTTGATGAAGATCTATGGTGCCCAGCACCCCTTGGGGCTCGATGTCAGGGAAGACGCCTCCTCTCCCGCAGGGACTGAAGACTCCCACCTGAATGGGTACGGGAGAGGCATGGCAGAGGACTACATGGTCCTTGACCTGAGCACCACCTCCAGCCTGCAGTCCAGCAGCAGCATCCATTCTTCCCGAGAATCCGATGCAGGCAGCGATGAGGGGATTCTCCTCGACGACATTGATGGGGCGAGTGACAGTGGGGAGTCAGCACACAAGGCCGAGGCCCCTGCCCTCCCTGGCAGTCTAGGGGCTGAAGTTTCAGGATCTCTGATGTTCAACAGCTTGTCCGGGAGCAATGGTGGGATCATGTGCAACATTTGCCACAAAATGTACAGCAACAAGGGGACTCTGAGAGTGCACTACAAAACTGTGCATTTGCGAGAAATGCACAAGTGCAAAGTTCCCGGTTGCAATATGATGTTCTCCTCTGTGCGAAGCCGAAACCGGCACAGTCAGAACCCTAATCTCCACAAAAACATTCCCTTCACTTCAGTAGATTAGTTTCAGAACGGACACTACAAATGCCAGCTCTCACCAGATGGCCTAAATGTTTGAACTGCCATAGTCCGTGTGTGCTTGTGTACCTGGGCGTGTGTGTATGTGTGTGTGTATGTATACACATGTATGCCTCTGTGTCTACATACACACACACACACATTTTCTTTAGATACATAAAGATAAACACTAGGTGCTTTTGAAATTGTTTTTCTTTTACCTTTATATTTTTGGGAAAGGGGTGGGATCTTTCATTTGGGGGTGAAAACAGTACCCTTAAAACACACATAAATACACACACACACACACACACACACACACACACACACACAAAAGTGTGCACCTGGCCCAAATTCTGACAGAATAAGAATTCTTGGTCCTCTGCAAAGGGACAGTTTGTTGTACCCATGACTGTTGCCTGCAAAAAAATAAAAGGGAAAAAAAAAAAAAGAAACAAAAAAGGAACTTCTTATAGTTGTCTTTTGTGAACTTTAAGGTTTTGAGAGAATCTTCAATTAAAGCATGGCAGATTCACCTGTAAATATTTAGCCTTGAGAGGCCAATGATGTAAAGCAATTGTATTGATGGTTGTTTAACTCTTTTGTTTAATTTTTACAGTTACATCCAGCTGTTAGATATGCAGGAAAAAAATAGTTTGCTGGCTAGCTCTATTCATTTATGTTAGCATTAATGCACATTTCTTTTAAAAAAAAAAAAAAACATGGTCTTGTTTTTACTACCTGCTAGATAGAGTGATAAGGAGGTGCTGGCATGCTTTACAGCACAGATCTGATTTTTTAAAATGTCCTGTACTAGTACATAAACCCAGTCATGCACTTTTTTTCATACACTACAAGGGGACGTGTAATATCCATGCTTCTTTTTTATCCTTAAACTATTGCCATACTTCAAGTAAGTGTCTTTTTTAAAAAAAAAAATCACTTGTATAAAAATGGTCTGGTCAGTATAGGGCACAAATGCCAAACAAAAGTATTAGTGTTAACACAAAACTGCCAACTTTGCACAAGTTTCCAGAAAAGAAAATACAATTAGTCACTCAACATAACCACAGGCCAATTTGTCGGCCACCAGAAAACCGCTTTAAAAAAAAAAAAAACACACACTTGGTGATTCTTTCAAGTGCCGAATGTTATTAGAATCAACATTGCATCCTTCTTGCTTATATGTTAAGTTACATAAAAGGAAAACAAAATTATGTGGTGTGAAACAGCCAAGGCATTTATTCTTCAGAGGCAGGATAGTATTTCAGGATACAAAAGCCCAAATTACTCACTATGGAACAAAGCTGAATGCAGTGACAGTGTTGAACATTCATTTGCAGGACCTACCCCTTCTCCTTTAAAAAGAAAGCAAAAGTCTGAACTGGGTTGGTCTGTTGTATGGCTGTGTAATTTGTTGCAAGTTCTGCAGTAGTCCTATGATTCAGGCCTGTCTGATAGACAAAATCAAAAGACATTTCATAGCAGCAGTACTTGGAAGCTTTGAAAACATGTGCTGAACTTGAATTGAGCAACACTCCTTTCTGAAAAGCCAGACGAAGGGGGGTTTAAAATAGGATCTCTCACTGTTGAGTGTTTTGTGTTTCCCCACATGATTTGTCAGAGAGAAATGAAAGCAAGCCTGAAACCAAGCAATTGAGAGTGAGAAAGAGGGGGAGGCGATTCTCCAAACCTTTTTTGTTTTGTTTTGTTTTGTTTCCGATGTTTACACATGTTGCCTGAGCTGGTTAACCACATGGGCAGCCCTCAGCTACCACAACATACTCACTAAATGATGATATTTACTCAAGTTCAGTCTGCAGCCAAAACCATTAGGATGTGCACTGCAGACTGTGTTTTGTTGTCTTTTTTCTTTTTTTTTTTTTAAGGTGGGGGTGGGAAGGGGGGAAGACGGATAAACAAGGAATATTTTGTCTAACAGTACACAATAATTTAAAGAGAAGGTATTTCTTTTCTGCATTTAGTGGCCTCAAACATTTCTCTCGTCAGTCTAAAAGTTAGAAATGCCCCCTTTGTTTTAATTTTGCATGTTGTTTCCATTTTTCATGTTTTGTAATTATTTTTTCTATGTTCACATCAGCATTCACTTCCGTTAAATTTGCCAAAGGAAACTGTTAATATGTTTCTGTTGTTGTTATTATTCCTGTAGGATTTATTGTACCTCACAGTATTTATTGTTTCCAAAAAGTAAGCATCATTAGTTGAGGATTCAGTATTTTTATTTGTAAAAATTTCAGAAACAATAGATTATTAAAGACAAGCTAGACTTGTCTAGAAGCTTCATCTTCTCATCTCCTTCAGAGGATACTATGGGGTTCATTTAATTCACTCGGTTCTCCAGTGAGGAAAGACCAAAAGTATTTGCAGTACAAAAGAAACCATATCAAACACTATGTCTGTTAAATGACAAATGTTTACGGTAAAAAGCTGAGGAATTAGTAATAACCATTTTTGTTTTCTTGTACCTTCGAATTCCCCAAAGTCTTAATTGCTTTATTTTGGTGTTGTGTTAAATTGAATAGACAGAGATGTTTTCCTTTGTTTTATACCATATAAGACTATGTACAGTATGTTTGTGAAAAACTGAACTAGAATAATGAAAGTTTGTTTGCAAACATCTTGGTCCTCTTAGCGTTCTCTGTGTTGCGCTGTTGCTCCATTACCAAATGATTCGATTCAAAAAGGGTGGAAAAAAGTATTTTTAGTACCCCAACAAAAGATTGTGGAAACACTAGCTGTTGGACTGTGGTAGGCTGAATTACACCTAGCTTTATGAAAATAACACATTTTTATTTCAGTATGCTTCTAAAGTTACACCGTTGGTTGAGATATTAGAACTCATCTTGTACAGAATCAGTGTTTTGTCTGTTTAATGTCAACTCAAAGGTCACATAGCCCTAGTGAGTGGATTCCATAGCTGTCAGCAGGTCACATCAGTAAATGAACCAGGCTTAGAACAAATGTTTGTTACTTGCCACAAACTGGGCTAATGTGGAGATCCGGTTAGAACAGTCCAGAAGTAATGAGATTCTCACACTAGAATTTCCCTTGCTTGGAAACTTGAATGTGTTCACCTGCGTTTTGTCAGAAAAATGACAATGAGTCCTGGGCAACTGGCTCTTTTTAAGTATCTCCCCTATTTGCTACTACTTTAGTGCCTCAAGTGCCCAGATGTTACGGTGGCCTTCTAAATGGGTGAATGACACTCTCCAATTTGAAGCCTGTTTGCTTAAAAGGGGCGGGGGGGTGGGTGGATGGAAGCGGTATGTGAAATGTAGAAGTAGGAATTGCCTGGTGCTGCCCGTCCCAAAGTGTTACTTTTCTTGGGTACGCGCCCGAGGGCGATGTTTGACTTAACGGTAAACCTAGTCAAGATGGTGACCCCAAGGCTTACTCGCAGACAGGAAGGAGAAAGAGATCAGCGTTTTAATCACGGGGCCCTTCATCTTTGTCTGCTCCTACTCATTTGTTTCTTCATAGGAGTTTTCTTTTGTGAAACCGTTTCTTTCGAGCTGCATCCGTTCTGTGCTGGCTGAAAATTCATAGCAATGCAGATTTTCATCCAAGCAGCTTTTTCCCCATTTGATTGATTTTAACCACAGCTTTGTCACAGGTAGAAAATGAGGCAGTATTATTAATGTGCATGTTCACTAGCTGATGTTGAAACTTACTGTTTTGATCATTCTAAACTATGTTTTTGTACATATCAGAAAGGCTTAGTCTGCTTTAGGGAATATCTGCATGCTTACGGAGGGGGACGACAAAGAGCAAGAGAAAGGATAGATAGTAAGTAATTTGGTTTTTAAAATGTGATTAAAAAGCTTGACATTCTTCGTTCTGCTGTGGATTGTATTGAGATAAGTGAACCCAGTATAACGCATCTCAGATCTTAGTCTCACTGTCCAGATCAGCCTGATGGCTTTTAAAGGTTTGAAGGTATTAATGTTTTCCTTCTCAACGTGACAAACATCTTTTTTGAAAAGGTTTTTAGCACAATGGTGGCACTGTCCTTGTAGTGTGATTTCTTTGGTCATGAATTTCCAGGCTCTTCCCATAAGAGGAGAAAGACACTTAACTGGTTAATGGCCCTGTTAGTGTATACATAGCTCTTAAAAAAGAAAGAAAAAGAAAAAACCTTGAATATACGAAGAATAGACTATTCTAGAGGCATTCTCCCCATTTTGCTGAGGAGAAACCAGGCCCTAGAGTCCCACCAAATAAGAAGTGACCTTTTGTTCCCCTTCCCATGGACACACCCCAAATGTGTACCAAGCAAACGAGAACGGGGGCCATTAAAATGTAAAGAAGCCAGTAACCAGATTGAGGTGGACGTGCTGCTTTCCGTTAAGTGTTGACCTGAGCAGCCCCAACTTGTACCTGGTCTGTTAGTGTTGGATTAGATTGACTAACAGTAAATAAAATTCAACTGTAATAGGACACACTAATCTGCTATCATAAACAAACCAGTCATCCGGAAGAACCTTTCTACAACCTTATGGGCACGCCCCTTGTCTTAACTTATAAACCATTAGAACAAATGTCATTTAAAAAAAAAAACCTTCCAACTATTCAAATTAGAGGATGTTGCTTTTCCCTCCCAATCTTTGCTTTTTAATGGAAGGGGTCTAAGTGTGTAAGGAGGCCATAAAAGACAGGTACAAAAAAGACTTGGGAATGAGCTTTTTCCAAAAGCAGCGCAAGGGATACTGAGTAGGGAGTAGGAACCTGCCCCAGGTGGGGGTAGCTGGTAAAGGAAATACCAAATGAACTGAAAGTGTTTGGTCAAAATGAAAGTCTGGCACAGTTCTGCCCAACAGTGGGTGAGAGCACCTCATGCTGCCCCACAGAGCTCCCTGTGACAGGTGCGTCACAGCACCCCTGTCTGAGGAAGAGGGGGAAGCAAAGAAAACTCATGGAATAACTGAGAGTCCTTATGGGTCAGAAGAGCCAAGGGCAGTTGTGGGTTGTTTTTTTTTTTTTTTTCCTTTTGTTTTTGGTTTTGTTTTTGGGTGGGAAGTGATGCTGGAGTCCATTAGGGGAGCAAAAAGAAGTGAAGGGTCACCTAGGGTGTAGAAAAAGCCAGTGGCCAAACTGAGCTCTTAAATGTCTTTTCTCCATCGTTACTTTTACCTGCCCCTGTAGCCATGATTGTAATGCCACTTGGCTAACGACTTCTTGATCAAAATGTGAGCTCATTTACCTTCCTATGAAACATAAAAATAGCTTCCCTGTTTTCATGTTTTTCCTCAAAGCTAAATCATGTGCTAGTCTAGCTCATGTTAATACTAAGACCATACCTGGTGGGTCTCAGACTCATTTCCCTATTCCCTGTTGTTGGAGAGTTGCTCCCCAGAAGTGGTTAACTTTGATTTAGTAGTATGTAAATCCAGCTATAAAACTGACCAGTGAATTAGTCTGTCATCACTCTGGCCCAAACACCCATCCTTCTTTGTGTCTTTCCGTCATCCCCATTCTTTCCACATCTTGCACAAGTTGATGCTTGTGCTCATGCGGCAATAACCAGACAGCAAATACCATCCTTGGCATTTGTTGAGAACTCCAAATGCCTAATAATGGTTTTTTTTAATGAGCATTTTTACAAGTACACCGAATTGGATCAGCATTATTGTTCATTATAATGCTATATATTTTTGAAGCAACATACTATAGTTGTTATAAAACTATCTTTATTCTCTAAAGTGTTACTGTAAATTCATTTGACCTTTACTGCAAAAAAAAAATCTTTTTTATATAGAGTATCTAGACAAGGCTCAGTTTGTAACAAATAGTGAACCATTACAGAAGAGGAAAGGAAAAAGCTGGGACTGAGCAGTGAGAAGCTTCAGTTCAATTTCACCTCATATCTTTCTAATAACTTACTTGTCACTTTATTACCTTCCAGTAATGTGAATGCTGCTGACAAGACTGTCACACTAACAGCAGACAACACCCTCTCTGCTTCAGCCCCAGCTCTCCTGGCTACTTATTGCCCTGGCCCTGAAGGGACACAAACTAATAGCGTGCTTTCCAGTTCAGCACTTGGCCATCAAATATAAAAGGATGCGTAATTGCCTGTTTATCCCTTGTGAAGGGGAAA